TATATATGCGTAATCTGATTTGTTTGTATACATAGAAAATTATAGAAAATAAAATAAAGTCGTCAAAATAGATCTTAATATTTTAGATTTAAATTTGAAACACATATCACTCTGTATACTCTTAATTATAATGCTGTATCTAGATTTGTCATTAGTATGTTAGTTTGGTTAGTATATAGTTTATGGTTAGTATGGTATCGTATTTATGGAAATAACTCATACACAGAGAATCTCAAAAACACTGTGTGGAAACAATGGTGAGTTCGCTTCAAGACCAACAACATAATTCAGAAATCAGAATTCATACCATTTCAATCGTATGAAATATGACCATGTTTATCTAGTCTTATCGAAACAAACAGGCCGATATTCAATATTGTAATGAATGGTTAATAATAGTGGTTAGTTTTATTAATTATGGAAACTTATACTTTCTACATAACAACTATATTCTACTTACAAACGATATTAAAATAATAATTTTAAAAATGCTTACCCGTGCGTATCGTTGTTGTGTCATACCATATTCAAATTTAATAATTTCCTCCAGTTTAAATCGTTTAAATATCATACATCATTAAATATAAAAAAACCAAGTTCATTAGGTAAAAATATCAGCCATAAGTAAAACCTTAAAATGAAAAGTGCTCCATGGTTTCATATATTTGCATTTTAAATATGTTTATTATTAAATATATGTTATTTTAATATGTATTCACAATAACGTCTCCATTAAATATCATATTAAATTATTATACACAGAAGACGAAGGTCGGAGACAACAAATGCCAGTGTAAAGTCCTCTTTAAAAACATAGGAAAATCATCAATTTGACTGAAGTACATTCAGAGTTGGGTTGTTTTAAACATAAAAATTAATCAAACATCCCTTATAAAACAATTGTGGTCCACTAATTTCCACGATTTTTCCAAATGCCGTACCAACCGATCTAAAGACCGGCCGTTGGTTTTCCACGGTGCCGTCCGAAGGCCGCGCGGCACCAACTATTCGGCGGTTTTTGTCGTTTTCCGGTCCCTTTCGGGAGGTGAGAATACAAGTGTCGCACATTGGTGAAAAGCTGAAAAAAATCCTTATTAAACAATTGTGGTCTACTAATTTCCGCGATTTTTCCAAATGCCGTACCAACCGATCTAAAGACCGGCCGTTGGTTTTCCACGGCGCCGCACCGACTATTCGGCGGTATTTGTCGCTTTGCAGTGCCTTCCGGGAGATGAGAATACAAGTGTCGTGCATTGGCGAAAAACAGAGAAAATTCCCTATAGAAAAATTGTGGTCCACTAATTTCCGTGATTTTATATAATTTTAAATGTTGAACATATTGTCTACTATACGCCCATCACTTGTTTTTATCTTATTCTTTAATCTTTGGCTATTGACATAAGAAAGTTGCAGACCTCTTTTATGGAGCTATAACATTTTCCTAATAAATGTTTTATAAATAGCTGTATGAAAGTATACAGTATAATATTTAATTATCTCATTTATTACCAAGATTAGAGTCCTACCATGAAAAAATTTATTAGTTCTATGATTCCCCAATCCTAGGACTTGGGAGTATAGGTCTATCAAAGCTTTTGATTCAAAGGTACGGTACAAAGGTGTATAGAAGTTCAAAGGTATCTTCTTACTGTCATCATCTTCATGCAGGAATAAATACAAATATGCATATCGAAAGAATGCACCGCACTCTGAAACATATTTATTTAGAAGGTAAAAAAGTTAAACGACTAAGTCCTATACACGCATTATTGAAATTTCTTAGGGACAAATCTATAGACAGACTAATTGTACTCCATAAAGGAAAACTTACTTCTAAAATTAGAGAATTAAGAAAAAGGCACAAGAATAGTCTAGAAATGTCAACTAATGATGTGCTTAAAAATGGAGAAGATTGTTGGAATGTGATGGCAAGTGGTCTTGATGACATGTACACTGTAAATAAATTGAAAAACTCCTGTGATTGCCAAATTGTTTGTGATGAATGCAAAACTTGTATTCATTGTTTTTCATGTACATGTATAGATAGTGCAATTAAATGAAATTTTTGTAAACATATTCATTTGGTTTGCCTATCAGAAATATCACAAAATATAAATACTAATAGTTTTACAAAAAACATAAGTTTGGAAGTCAATAATAAAAAAAATGAGACTGTAAGTATTGTATCTCAACTGAATAATACAGAAGTAATACATGAAGTAGACAATTTAGAACATGAAAAACAAAAATTTAAAAACATATTTGATACAATGTTACATACTGTTTCAAGTTTAGAAAAACTTGATGCATTGAAGAAATGTTTGTCGTCTGCACAACCTACATTATTAGCATTAAGAAATAATATGGATAAAAAGCCTTTAAAAAAATGTCATTGAATATTTCACCAAAAAGTAGGAAAATTATACATCAGCGTCGATTTGTTTCTACTAAAAAGACAAAAACACACAAAATAACTTCAACTATTATAGTACCGAACAAAATGGAAAAGAATAATATAAGTGCATCCTTATTGTTGATGAATGAAAGAAAGTAAGACACCTGAGGTAAGTGTTAAATTTTAAAAATGGTAAGTGCCTATTAGCAAATTTATAAACTATTCAATTTTTTTATTTAAATTAACTTATTTTACCTAATTAATGTATTATGACGTGTATTGTGTATACCTATTATTTTTTAATTATTATTAAGGAGAAACATTTGAATAACTAATAATTATTTTTATTTACAATGAATGTTTGTTAATAATTTTTGATATTTAAATATTTAATATTTCATAATCTCTTGAGATAATATCACATAATAAATGTTTTCTGTGATAATACTGATATATATTTGTGAAGATAAGAGTTACGATTGATAAGAGCATAAGGCCGCCATCTTGCAGCCATTCGGCGTTTTCTGTCTCCAGACACTTGTGGTCCCGACCACGGTGACGGCTATGCTGTGGGGTAGTGGTGTGTAATTCACGAATGAATCAGTTCACTGAATTGATTCACTTAGGTGAATCGAATGAATGGATTCGGTATCTACGAAAGAGTCGATTCACTAGTGGCCACACTGTAATTTGCGCTTTTGAGAGTGAATCAAGAGTGAATCATAGAGCAATATATATTGATAATTTCGTTGATGCACAAAATGACACACGGCAGTGTGACCATTAAAAAAAAAAAAAATAATGTATGCGTCCAGATCTGTTCACCAGACAATAGTTTTTGTATTAAAAATTGTTTGAAAATTCAAAACTTAAATCACTTACTTATATTAAATTTTTTTTAATGATGCACTCTAGAAACCATCTAAAATAGTGTTTTAGTCATAGGTTTCATTACTTCATGTTTTTTTCCCTAGAACTTGTCAGTAATAATTTTTTTCTTGCTTCTTAAAACTCAGATACCAATCTAAAAGTAGTTTTATTGTAAATAAATTAACAACATTTTTAAATTGAATATTTATAATTAATGAAAATATCTATTGCCCTTTAAACAATGTTAATTTATTATACCAACTTCTCAGAGATGGCTTTTCATTGTGAGATTGTATGCTATAATTTATTTTTAGTTTACAATATGTAGTGGTTATAGATTTAATTAAAAGAGGAATATGATCAACTAATACATTTTGACTGTCTGTATTATGACTTATTAATGAATTAAATATAATGGGATTACCTATGAACCTACTTAATACTTTTGATTGTATTAATAACTTATTCACAGATTTATTTTTATAATCAAAAGATTTCAAAACTTTTTCTGTTTCATAGCATATAGCTATTACATTTTCACTGGGATAACAGAGTCCACCGTTATTACCATATCTGTTTTTAAGAGTAATCAAGGAATTCATAAAGTCTTCTTTGTTAAGGGAAAACAAAGCAGATACACATGCTTCACAATGTAAGGTAGAGCTTAATTTATGGGCAACAAATCCAGCAATGTAGATGATAATTTCTTTAGAAAAATGACACAGTGTAAAATTTTTGTTAGTAGGTAGTGATTACATAATTATGATCATTTATAAATGTATCTACGGTTTTGTCATTTTCTTCCTCAAAAAGTGGGTCGTAATTGATGTTAACTGAGCTTTCGTTTATAACTTTAATCGGATCTTTACTGGAATAGTGTAGAATTTCCACATCATCAAGTGGAATACAATTTCCCGTATTAAACTGTGGAATACTAGTGCTATGAATAACTAGTTTTCTGTATGCTGAACGAAATTGTTTTGCTGTTGGATTATTATTATGGTCACCTTGAGATCTAATACTTTCAAAGAATAGCTCTAAGTGGTCTTGGCTAAGTTTGTACGTTCTTATAAAATCTAATTTCTCTGGAAATATTAAAGTTCTATACAGATTCAACAATGAATTCAAACAGATTATGAATCCAAGAAATCCAGTTTTTCTGTTTGAATTTAAAACTGGAACATCTGTATTTTGAATACGCAGTCCTCTAATGTACTCTGTAAATTTTGAGGTAAAATCATAAATATCCATAAAATTTTCTCGACAAATAGCTTTTTTTTTCAATACAACTTCTTGTATTTAAAATATCAAATACATCATTAAATATTTCTATGAATTTCGCAGTAGCATCAACTCCAAAAAATGCATGGAGGCTTAAATTATATTTGCAAAATTTTAATGCGTCAGCTACTGCACGACTTAATAATTGAGTAGCAAGCTTCACCTTCATTTTTTGCTTAAAAAAAAAAATGTGTTTTTTTCTCAGTTTGTTAGCCAAATGACACCCTTCCTGTTCCTGTAGTATAAATAATTGATAAATATAGTTAAAATCGATCAAATTATCATCCATATCTTTAAATAACTTTCTTTCGCCAAAAGCATTTCTGATAAGCTTAACCATGTGTGCAGCATCCAATAAAACGACAACTTCTGCATTAGCATTATTTTTAGAGCAAGCTCTTAGTTTTGTATTTAAATTATCGACATAAAAATTACAACCTAAAAGTTTAGACATTTATAAATTTGTTGAAAATCCATCGTATGTTAAGCTAGTCATAATAATTTTAGTTTCTAATAATAAATCTAAAGCATGGCGAACTAGTTCAGATTTTTGTGAACTATTTAATCCAGAAGTTAAAAAATAGCCAATTGGAATTTTCCAGTTTTCGTTCACTGACACCACCATAAAAACCAAACATTCTTTAGCCATTTCTAAGCTATCAGTATTTAAATTATTGCCAAGATCTACACGCCCATAGTAACTAGTTCCATCATACTCTAAGCTGCAGATTATCGGATAGTTAGAGTTTTTTTGTTTTAGTGAAAGCATTTTCAATGATTCTTTTGTAAAGCTAGGATTTGCATCTATGTGAGCATACCATTTACTTAGTGTTCGAGAATGAGGTAATACAGTATTAAATTCTTTTCTAACAAATTCATAAGCCCTTGATGAATAAAAGTGCAAAGATAAAGCGAGCTGGCGAACAAGCGGACTATACTTTCCTTTAATACTTAAGCCTAAATTTTTTCTTCTCCAATTTGTAATTAAATCTTGGTGCTTACCAAAACTTTCAATAAGAACATCACTGGCATCTTCATTCAATAAATGTTCATTCTTTAATTGTTCAATTATGCTACTGAGACTTTTAATTTTTTGCTTTTGTCTTCTTACCGTTTGTTGCAACATCTTAACTTTTTTGCTTTTTGCCTGCATTGCAGTTGAAAAATGAGTTATTCCTCGCTTTAAAAATAATCGACCAGGAGAATCATTTGTAGAGGGTTTACTAGCCATCAAAAAAGATGAACTTATATTTTTCTAATTTAATTTGTCAGGAAAATACAAAAAAAAAAAAATAATAAATATTTCATTAAATTTTATTAAACAAAATAAATAATTAGTAAAATGTACTTGTTTAGAAACATCTGAGGTAGGCATGGTACTTGAACTACTCAGATTCAAACATATATTATTAGTGTCATCACTCATCACTATGGTTGTCATCTAATGGCATAACACCTTTCAAATCACTATTACTAGCTGTTACCTGAAAACAATTAGAAATAATATTTTATAATTTATGCTTTATTGAATTTAAATCTTATAACTCAAATTGGTAACAAAATTGTGATCAATGATTATATATTATTACTTTTAAATATAATATTAAATAAATCCTTCTGATTAAATTAAGCAATATATTTAGTAAAATTTACTTGTTTTAAAACATCAGAAGTAGGCATGGTGCTTGAACTACTCAGATTCAAACACATATTATTAGTGTCATCTAAATCATCTAATGGCATAACACCTTTCAAATCGCTATTACTAGCTGTTACCTGAAACAGTTAAAAATAATATCTTATAATTTATTTTTTATTTAAATGAAATCTGTAGTATTACCTGAAAATCTGAAATTCTGATGGGTGCCCTAGTTTCAGGGAACAACAGTTTTGCCTTTATATAAATAAATTTAAAATTAAAACACATATCTACACTAACTATGTAAAAACATAATTTTAAAAATAGACTTACACTTTTTACACGAGCTACACAAATAGATGGAACAGCCGTTTTATTAAGTATTGTTTTTCTGTTGTAGTAAGCAAAATTATAAGATGCAAAGTGTTCTGAACATATCAAACTGTTTTGAGTTACTTTATCCTTACGTAATGAATTGCTCAATAGAAATTCATACCATTTTTCTCGGGTTACAACATCCGTAGGGAATCTAAAACAATTAAATTGCCATAATTATCAAAATTATATTTAATTATAATAATTATGTCAATTAAATATAAAAAAATAGTAAAATAGATTAAATGTTTCATGCATGTATGTAAAACAATATGATCTGTAATACTAAATTACTTACCTGTGAAAAGTTATTTTATCTTGCTTAGAATTGTGGTTCCTAGTTCTACCACACACATAGCAACTAGGCATATTGATACCTATTAAAGATAATAGGTAATAAAACTGCTGGTAGACTATACAGTTTACACTTTTACTATTAAAGTTATAACACTTTACTCGAAATTCGAATAGTCAAAACTCAAAACTCAAAAGAAACAGTAAATGTGTAAAATACGTAAATCATTATCAATTATCATATTTAAATTACTGATTTTACGCTGCTATCTACCGGACAGTCCTAGCAACAAATGACCCTAGATCAGGGTGAATGACCGACGGTTTGTCATCAATTTCGTTACACGACTGGTATAGGAAACGCCCTCTCTATATTACTCTATGGAGTGAATGTGAATCTACTATCTACTATCAAATATCTTGTATCTACGAATCACGATTAAAGATATAATCATGCTTCGAATAAAATAATTAAAATATTAAATACTCATTTATCAGTTTACTGTTTAGTGTTTGCACTTTTAAGTAAATAATATATTATTATAATACCATGTTATACTACATACATTATTAATTATTATATTTTTATCATACTATTTACTTATTATAATTCACGAATCACTTTCTTTTACAATTTTACACATCGGCATTTTAGAAATAGTGAGTACTGAATAGAAATTCATCAGTCATTTATTAAAATATTAAATAATAGAGTAGACCTATTTTAAATTATAATTAAAAAAAACAATTTGTTCGACCTTTTTGCTTAACAGCCTACTACGTTTTGTCGATACAATTTGTCCACTTTTAGAGAAAACTCTTTCACTTGGTACTGATGTAGCTTGAATACACAATCGCTTTTTCATCATTATAAAAAGTGTCAGATATATTTGCCTATTGTTATTCTTATTCAACCATTTTAAGGGATCTTGTGTTCTAGGGATTGGAGGCTCTTGAAGATACTTATCGACTTCTACAATCATTGTTGCTATTGGATTCAGAGACTGTACGACATTTTCAACTCCTGCATCAAATTCTTGACAAATTGAATTTTCTTTTCCAATATTGTTTACCACGGCAGGCACACTTACATTTTGTTCTATGGTAGATCTAGACTGTGTGACTATCCGTTTACCTTTGTTTATTATAACCTCTTTGATTTTTTTAAAAGACTGTTCATTCTGAAAGCCATATTTTTTGAACTGTGGTTCTAAAATTGTAGCCTCAGGTAACAGTGGATTCGACTCGTACTGAGATAATTTCCAAATCTTTTATTTATTTCCAATTTTAATTTATTGACCATATTATTTACTTGAGGAGTTAGATCTTTTGTTGGTTATTGTATTCTGTATGTTATCAATGCTTGACTGTACAAAATTACTTCAGTTATTGATACACTTTTTTCACTACTCAGATCTATGGTTATTTCCTTAAACCGTTCCAATATATTACAAGACTGTGTCAATTCTACGTCACGATTTGAATTGGACAATGCTGATATTATAGGTGTCTTTAGGTTTACAAATCTTTGGAACATATCGAAGTTCCGCCGAGTAATGACTTCTTGGATAAGCATCAGCGTTGTAGTAAAACCTAATTGCTCTTGAATCTTATTTAAATTCGCAGATGCATTCGTACTTCTTTTAAAAAATTCAACTATTGATTTTACCTTTTCCCTTGTTTCATTAATTTCATTTAATGATGATTGTACTATTAAATTTAAATTATGAGCAAAACAAAAATGCTGCCCCCACTGACATAAACGCACCGCTAAAGAAATATTGGCTGCATTATCCGATGTACACGCTACGATCTTATTACGAATACCCCAATTTTCAGTGATCTCGAGAAGTGAAGATTTGAGATTCTGGCATTGAAATTTGGAGTTATTTTAACTTCAATGTTAGTCAATGTTGTACGCATTTGAGCTAAGGCTGTCTTGCAGTTGAATTGACATCAACGTAGTGGTTAAATTTGTATGTAAAATATACGACAAATTGGAGTAATTATTAACCATTTTTGTGGTTAATTTAACATTAAGACGTGTTGCAGTAGCCGTATAAAAGCTGAGTTAATTAACCCTTGAGCGTTGTTTTAGTTAGAATAGTTGTCGTAATTGTCGTAGTTGTCGTAGTTGTCATCATTATCTATAAACCTTATGTAGCATATCAAATGAGCATCCTTATTAATATCCGTAGTGAGATCATCTGCCATATGGTGAATTCGGCGACTAATTGTATTATTAGACAACGGCACTTTTGAATGTAATTTTCCAGCCGATTCGCCAATCATAATGTTTACCATATCTAAAGCAGCTGGTAGGATAAGCTCTTCTGCAATTGTATTAGGTTTCTTACATTTTGCAATTCCACCAGCAACTTTATAAGAGGCTATCAATGCATTGTTTGGTATTGATGCATTCTTAAAATGTACTTTTTTCCTGTTTTAGTTCTTTCCTCTTTCTATCAAAGTAATCGCGAGATTTTCCAACCGTATACTTATGATTCGTTTCCAAATGGCGCTTCAATTTGCTCGGCAACATGCATTCTGATGCTAAACTGTCATACACAATACACATAATGGTCTTTCTTCCCCATTCACTTCTGTCGAAGTAAAACCAAATTCCAAGTAACTATCATCATACTTCCGATATTTTCGTTTTTTTACAGTCGGGCTGTTACTGGTTGAGGGTATACTTTCCTCCTCTCTACAACGTTTATGACTGTTCAATAAAAATCGATCCATGATTTAAAAAAAGTCACAAAATTAACAAAATTTCTATATTAAGACGACGAACACGATAGAGCAACACACTACGCGAGACTGGCGGTCATACTAATCCGAAAACAAATTTTATCAAACACGTCTCATAAAGTCATGACTATGGTCTAAAAATAAATTTAAACTCATTAATGGTGGTGAGGATAATGCGACAGAACCGATAACGATAAACAGTTTATCAATTTTGTGAAGTCGGAGACATAAAAATTATTTTTCTCTACCGATATTATAGTAATAGGTTTTGTCGCATTACCCTCGCCGCCGTCATCGAGTTAAAATTTATTTTTAGACCAGGTAAATTTCTACGGCGACGCGGCGCCCCTGAAAAGACATCGTGGCGCACAGTTTGGGAACCGCTGAATTACGCGATTAGGAAACGATGCGTGTGACAGAGATCGATATAGTGGATACAGGCGATACAGCAGACAGACAGAGACCGTAATGTGAAACGAGCCTTTGATAATATTATTACATACAGAGGTTATTACACATCGACCCCCCAATTAATACACTATGATAGACACTATAACATTTGACGCAAACATCACGTTCACCTTCAACTATCCTGTGAACAATATAGTATCTATAACAAAAAAAGCTTTACGTATGACACGACGATGAACACAAATTGTTGAACCTCTTGCACCAATAGTTGACTGACCGAGCTCGAACCTTAATAGATTTCAACTAGAGCAACTATCCACTAAATACTAATTTCAATTACTGTCGCGCCCTACCTGATTTGTTGCAGTGCTAATAGTACCTACGTAGCTTACTT